ATTTTTTCTGCTTGGATTATTAATTTGTTTGCGTTTTCTTCTAAATCTTTGGATAAATTATTTAAAAGGTCGTTATTAATTGTTTTTGGTCTATTTATAGCGCTATTACTCGTTTCTGGGCTTGAATCACTTAAATTGCTCTGTGTGAGTAATTCTGTAATATCAATTCTATCTTCTATTGAATCCTTTTGAACTTTGAGTTTTTGTAGATCACTTAAAGTTTCTTCGATGTCGCCTAATTCTACGATCCCCTTATAGTATCTAGATAATCTAGCCCTTAGGTTATCTACGGTTCCTACACTTTTTAATTGTTTAGATTTGCATAATTTAATAAGATCTGGTTTCTTTTGTATATAAATATCGGTTAATTTTGTAATTTTTTTTCCCAAAGCTATAAGATGTTCGTCATTCATATCATAATAAAATTTATTTTACTTAATTTGCTTAACACCTAAATAATTAATTTTTCAACAGTTTGAAACTTAAATTAAAATATTTTTGTGGTTATTTAATATTGAATAAACATAAAAAAAAATCCTATTTAAATTTATAATGAAACTAATCTACAATCCTAATATTAATACGTAAGTATATCTCTTAAATTAATATATTTTTGCGGTTATAATTATATCGAATAAAAATTTTGAAGAGAAAAAAAAGGAAATAGAGAGAAAAAATTGAACTAAAAAAAAATCCTATTTAAATAGTTTCTATAAAAAACCTAATCTACTTGTTTAAAACTTAAATTTTTGCTGTTATTTAAAATTGAAAAAAAAAATTTTGAAAAATTATTGAACTAAAATTCTATTTAAATTGTTTTAAGAAAAATCTAATCTATAATCCTAATATAAGTATATTACAAAACGTTGCTCACCTTGGCGTATACTTGTAGACGCACGGTTGCAAAAATTGTACCACGCGGCACAAAACTGCTGTCTTGTCGGACAGACAAAAATCGAACGCGTATGTGTTACTCACTCGGTATACACACGCACAAAAATTGCGTTCTGGGTTTACACTGCACCCAAAACACAAAAGGTATTTTTTACTTTAACGGAAAAAATCACTAAACTCGCTCCGGGTTTTACTATCCGAAACGTGCACAATTTTTGTACTTCACTTGTACCAAAAAAAAATGGTGTGTCAAGGGAATCTCTCCCAGACTACACGTAAAAACTGTCGTACTTCTCGTACGTAAACACTTTCAAAAAAATTAAACTTGCCAAGGTTGAGGTACCAGGGCACAAAATCAAAAAAAAAAAAATGTCTCCGACCGTAGGTAAGTAACCCCGTTGGGCGCCACTCTGTGGTATCACCCGTATTGGATAATACGCGGTAAACCAACTTTATACCTTACCCTCGTACGCTCTAGGCTAATGACTGTCTCTAGAATATATTCAGATTAGCACTGTTAACCTTTGAGGTACGATGGTAGCGTTTTGTCAGTTCTTCGTTCGTTTCCTAAATTGGAATGACTATTAGGACGCCACAACCAGAGCACTGTTCAGTTTGTAATAAACCTCATTGACTATAGGTGTGTGGGTCTGAGCACTGTTCCAATATTAAAGGTAAGAACGAAGAAGACTTTGAAATAAAACTCAACTCGGGTTTTTAGGTCGGAAACACTTTTATTATATTTAAATAACAAACACAAAATAACATATACTTGGCGAATTCAGATCGCCTAGCCCGTACTACGATCGACGTTTCACACGTACGACCACAGTACCTACGTCCTCGCCGATTCACTCAGCGACAACGGGACTCCCCGTGCCTGCGCGTGCGGCGGTGTTATATAGTAATCTTATAGCTGTCTCAGCACATATGCTTCACTGACCTATGTCAATGTTTTACAATAAAAAGTTCCCACCTCTATTACATATATGAAATAATATTTTGACGACTGTCTACAATATACGACAATATCATTGTATAAGAAAAACGATTCTGAGCGAAGACGGTATGTCAGTCTAGGTATAACACATTTTATATACATATCTATAATGGTATTAAAAAAAAAAATTGAAATATAATAGGTACCCATAATAAATTCCAAATTAATCATATCGCAATATCCATTAGGTACTTATAACGCGTTATACATCAACAACAAACCCTGATCTTATCATAGATAAATAAAAGTGAACTTTAGAAGTTTCAAGTTCCCACAATCACAACAAAATAACTAAAGTAGTTGTTCTAGGTTTTTTTTTATGTAATTTCATCTAAATTTGAACTTAAAATGACTATAAAAATAAACTGTGATTATGTATTTTTTAGATTTTTTGGTAACAGAATTAATTACTTACGTGGAATCTTGTTTTAAATTTCCAATCCTTACTCTTCAGATATAAAAGTTGAACATTTTATAAATTTTTAACTACAAAAAAATTATTCAATTTTAAATTTGATAAATTTTGTCAAAATTTGACATGCTTGTAGACATTTTTTTTTTGATAAAAGTAGACAAACTTATGAAAAATCTTGTATAACTTTTTAAAATCTTAGATTTAAAAAGAAACATTTTTAGGAATTTGTAACTCAACGTACATAATTTGCATTTTTTCGTGAATTTTAAGTATTTTGGCAATATTTGAACTTTAAATGATTATAAAAAAAAAATTGTGACTGGATTTTTAATATTTTTTATCATTCTTTGAAAAAATTTATTAGGAGCCTTTTTTTACCCTTAAATTTACAAGCTTTTATACCCCAAAAATAAAATTTCATTGATATTTGTAATATAAAAAACTAAAAAAAATGGAAACTGAGTATGTCCGTAAACAGCTCAAAATAAGTCAAAATATTTTGAAAATGTTACAGTGAATAGGAAATGCTAATATAAATATTCAGTCAAAATTTCATGTATTTACTGTCATTTGTTTTAGAGTTAGGTACACCAAAAACCAATATCGACTTTGTCGAAAACCGATTTCGCTTGAAAAGTTCTCGTTTTTCCTTAATTTAAATTAAAAAAATTTTCTTTTGTTTTCAGGGTGCTTTTGAAAACTACTGAGAAATTTTTACTTTTGACCCCCACCTCCAGAATACCAACTAGATTCACTTTCCTATCAGAAAAGATACTGTTGAACAAAATCTAAGAACTTTTACTGTCCTGAAAGGTATTAACAGAAAAAAAGGTATTAAAAAGAAACACACACACATCATTGTAAAATCAATACATTTATCACTCCACTAAGAATCTAAAAATAGTCACACAAAGTATGAGACAATGTGACATTATTTTGTTATTCGAAAACCGCAATCAATTTTGTATAGGCATCTGTATTTTGTATATTTTACCTACTAGAAATGTATAATAATAATATTATCGTTATTACTGAACTATACTCTGTAATGTGAAATTGACTGAAATGTATTAACTTATACTGAATTCAACAACTGATGTGTCAAAGCTCGATCAATTTTCTTTTATGTACAAGAGTTAAGTGTGTTGTACAAATGATGTGTTCTGGTGTTCATAAGAGTGATTATTTTGTGTTGATAAAACTGTAGTTATAACTTGTTTTGTAAAGTATGTGACAAATATAACCTAAATTGGAGGCAAAATTCGACGAGCTATTATGACGGTGCATTTAATATGCAATGATATGTAAAAGGATTAAGCTCATTAATACAAAATGTTGTAGAAAATATATATTATCATAATGTGGTGTAGCGCAAAATATTTAAATTTTACAGTATAGTAAAGTTGTTGATTGCTGTGCAGCAACTGAACTGTCAAACCGCCTCTGGTGTACAATAATCTATCTATAAAATGTGTAATATTATTAATAAATACAATTGTTGATCGATAAGTACTTAAAAAAAAAACTGCGCCTGCGAACCGACAACCGTAATATTATTATTATACGATAAAAATTAATTATCATTAGATATTTCCAAAATAATAATAATACGGTCGGCGGTCACCTTTAACAGACGGTTTTAGTTTTGTATAATATTATTCTGTTTTGTGTGTAAACATTGTAATAAATTCACACTTATGAAACATAAAAATGTTACAATATTATTAGTTTTATTTACCCCTTTTTGTACGAATTTCTCTAAATGTTGTATTCGATTACAACTACCTATAGCCTATAGGTACTGACTGGAAACAATATTATACTGCTCGCGATCATTTGGATTTGAAGAGGTGGTAAAAAATATTATTATGCGTACCTACTAGATAATAGCCTTAGCATCGCCTAATTTATCACGGATATAATCTGAAAAGATTATTTTAGTGTTTTGTTTTTTCCAACACTTTAAATTAGGTATTATTACGGTCACGGCATGATGGTCGGTACATTATAGTCTACTAATCTTTTGAATTTGTGATTTTTAGACTGCACAATTATACACGACCGCGGACCGGATCATATTATAGTTCTTACACGTCATATTTTGAAAAGTTCGGAAAACTATTGATGTGAAGGGGGGTTCACACTATACCGTGTCGTGTAAAATAATCACGGTTACCACAGTTACCAAACGATAATTGGTAACTGTGGTAACCGTGATTATTTTACACGACACGGTATAGTGTGAACCCCCCTTAAGTGTCGTACACTAAAATCTACACAATGTATGAGTATCGATGATATAGCTATCAGTTGATACAGAAATCCGGCATGTACCTATCTATACTCAAATATAAGTTATATACACTTTGACATACAATTTAATTAATATTCCTATGCGGCGGAAATATTTCAGAAATATTTTTCCGAATGTTTTGTAGCTCGAAAATCAAATTTTTCAACGCATATATAGCTATATAAATTATTAAATCAAATACATATAGTTTTATTATATTGATAAGTATTCAAATTTAAATGAGCGGAGATAGCAGTATTCCAACACTCTGCTGTGTACACGTATGTCACATGCGCTATGCTCAGCTCGTATAAACATTAAATTTAGTTATAATATTTAACCAATTAAATATGACATTTTTATCAAATATGTCCACTACAGTTTTCATAAATAAAATATCACGATTTTTTGTCAGTATTATTATTGGTTATTTTGAGATCCATATTCGTCGATTCCGCGTGGTCTTTCGAGGTAATAGATTCCCTTGTCAATCCAAAATAATTGGTTACTACGCTCAGAAAGCACATCAGAACAGACATATAGGAGAAAAATCGAAACGACCACACTCCGCCATATGTATCGAATAAATATCCGCCCAGCAGACTACCTATAGATTCACCTGTGAAACAATAATAATTAATTACATTTCTATGTAAAGAACGAGTGCATATATTATAATGTCGTGGAGGTCGTGACATATCGCAAGTACAAAAATATCGCATACAATATATAGGTAATACAAATAAAATTATGACTAAAAAATACGGTGAGACCTGTTCTAACGGACACCTCTAAATAGCGGACACCTCCAAATAGCTGACGTTTTCTTAGGAACCGACTACGAGCTTCCTTCGAACTGAACCCTTTGAATATAGGTTGTCCGGTATTTAGAGTTTTCACAATTTCGATTTCAATTATATATTCATTATGGTAAAAATAATTTATGGTTAAAAAATATAGCATTCGATTACAAATACGTATTATAGGTGTATCAAAGATACGATTAATCGTAAAGTCCATTTGACGTTATATAATATATTGTGGTATTTATAGACTGACATGAAAAAACAATCTTTGATTTGTATTGCCATTCAACCAAAAACGAAAAAAATACATTAATTATCAGGGTTTATCGAGGATTTTTTCGAAATCCAATTTCGATGGTTTCCAAACAGTTGCTCTGTATTGTTCGCTTGGCCTAAGTATTGTGCCCAACTATTATATCATCGCAATGTAAAAAAATATACGTATTTATATACGTTTCTTCTTTTTAATTGTGATGACGAATGTAAACATCAGGTCTTAGGTTTAACGTATTGTTGATGTAATGATGTATCATATTTTAGATTCTATAATATAAGTAACGATGAGTATTGTTTTAATAATGATGTGGGTTTTATTTTCTGTCGGTCTTCACCGTTTAAGATATAGTGGAAATGCTTCGATTATCGACGTCAGCATGTTTTCTGATAGAAAGGTTGCAGGTGCTAACGATAAGGCCAGGAGGTCAAAATTGAAAATGTCCAGTAGTTTTCAAAGCGTCGAGAAAAAAAGGCATAAATTCACATTTAGCTACCTACCTACCCAGTATTTTTTTTAATGTTTTTTTTCGATACATACGTATTTCAACGAATTAAGAACGATAGTGCGAAACAAATTTAATAAGTTATAATTTAAAAATAAGTTCCATCCTTCAAAAGTTTACGAATTTACGTTTATTATGTAAGCATACTACACTATATATACAGCTGTTGAGCTGTACTTTATTGTAGCACGCAGAGCATATAACTAATATTGATTTTTTAAACGTAGGTAGTTAAGAATGATGGTGAAATCAGCGGCATATTTCTGGAATTTACTGGACACCCTTTATTTTTACATTTGGACTTAGTTTTGAAATTTTAACTACCTATTTGAAGTCCGAGACCCACCCAATGCGTAGGTGTAGTTGTTCACATAACAAGTTGAGGGATGTTTTCGATTTTTATCGTCCGAGAAAGCTACGGTTGCAGTATATGAAAATACTATAAATTTCGATTAGCTATAACTATTTAAAACTAAGAATGAACGTCAAATTTTGACTTTATATAGTTTTCATCCAAAGTACAGTGTTGTACGCATGCGTATATAAACGAATCGCGATATAACTTCCAAAATAATGATTTCTGCAACATTTTGTTTGGACCACCGTCCTTAACATGTTGAAATAATAGTAAGTTTCAAAAAAAAGTGCTGGAAGCTAAAGTGAATTTGTTCCAAAAATATAAAGGAAAAATGGTAATTTTCCAAACAATCGATTTTATTCATTAACTCAAAAACTCATCACCGCAGGCACTTGAAATTTCCACCAAATATATTTTTATATTAGAATTTTCTATACGTGATAAAAATGTATAGTCAAAATATATATTGACTCTTTTCGAGCTGTTATATTATAGCCTTGAGAATTATTACTGTCGATAAATAATAATTATTTTTGCTCGATGATAAAATTTGAAAATTTAATGCAAGGTTAAACTTAAGGTATTGAGGTTTTACGCAAGGTATATTACTTAATATATAATTAGTATGATATGATTAAATTAAATCAATCGATTTTTCACGAGACCAGCCGGCATTATAGACCGTTATAAAAAATGTATGTACGTCAATAAAACGTCGCTTACCAATACAATCGAAAAATCCTATAAACCCAATTACGGTGTTTAGTGTGTTGGGTGGTGACAACATTTTTGCGTAGGACATTTTCACCGAGTATCCCAATGCGTACGACACGCCGTTCAGCAATTCAATCGCAATGATCCAGGCTGGATTCCAGATGACTGTGTACAGATACATCCTGACGCCCATGGCTGCCAGCACGAGGGCCATGCAATTGCCATAGCCCATCTTTCTGATTATCCAACCGGACCAGAAAAAAAATGGTATTTCGCCGCCGAAACACTGGATGCCTTGAGCTAGACCTTGGAGCGTTTTCAGCCACGCCCGTTGGCTGTGGTCGTCGTTGGCAGAAACCAAATCTTCCATGTACCTTCATTGAAATATTATATAATATTATGATTAATAATTCGACACATATTTTGGAGGAGTACAAAACACAAAAAAATGTCATTGCATTTTTTTAAAATGTTTTATTACTGTAGCTATGGATATATTAAATGATTTGGTAAAAATCCGATGTAAAAAAAAATTATTAGGTACTTTAAGAGATATTAAGAAATGTAGAAATAGCCTATCTTATACGTGTAAAAGTTCCTCGCTTCACACGATGATTTCCCAATCAAAAAATTTTATTTTTGAAATTTAGTTTACGTATAAATGTGTGATTTTGTGTGTTTAAAGTATCAGAAATTCAACAGAACGTTTAGTTTTTTAAATATTAATACATCTTTTAAGTGACATTTTCGTTAAACGGCGCGTCATATAGCCATTTAAATATAAAATAACAATTCAAATATATCTATTTTAAGATTTTTAATATTTAAAAAACTAAATTATTATTATATTAATTATTGAAATTCTGATACTTATATCGTCTTATACAGACATAAAACCACATATTTATTTGTAAATAAATTTCAAAAATAAAAATTTTAGGTTGGTTAATCGTCGTGTGAAGTGAGAAACTTTTACATGTATAAGATAGGCAATTACTATGAGCCGGGCCCAATGAAGTCACACGTATTTTTTTAATTGATCATAATACTTATTGAATAATGTGAGTAGAAACGTAAAACCTATACAATTATTCTTAAAATTTAACATTCTTTCAAATAAAAACAACTTGTTTTTTTTTGTTTTGTGCTCCTTTAGGTTGAAACAATAATCAGGGCCGGATTCTCGCCTAGGCCCGTGTGGCAAATTTTGTAAGAAATTGAAAAAAAATGTAATATTGTTTATTAAAATGTATAATTACTACTGACCTAATTTGTTTATAATGAAATAAATGTATTAATAATAAATAGGTACTACATATTTTTTCTTAGGGTAGAAGTGGCATATTTAAAAGGGCCTAGAGCGGCACCTGTTCTAGATCCGACACTGACAATAATATTCTGCAAAACGAAGGTTCACGACGGCGAATAACCGAATTATACAGTACAGAAGTGCCGTAGCCAAAATTTTTTTTTTCAAAAAAAAAAAATTGGGTTCCCCAGTCCCCCCCCCTTCCACCCTGTCTACGGCACTGATTCAGTAGGTACCTACTACCTACAAGTGGCTACGATACTTACTTTAAAATTAATTAACACACCACTGTGCATGGATAATTAATGGCACGCTCAACAATGGTTGTTTACAGACTGGACTTAAATTTCAATATCATAAATTATAATAACATTTAATAAAAATGAAAATGTCCGTATTGAAAACTTACCAGAACAGAAAGTGGGTGACGATTGTGTGGAAAAGCGTGTTGAATATTGACCATATGCAAAACGAAATCATGTAATGTTTAGTAAACAGCCCACACATGTTTTTCCATCGACCTTCGGATTTGTTCGTTTCGACAACCTATATGAACGACAGGAATTTAGCTACATATAGCTAGGTTGGGGACACGACTGAAAATATTATTGTCAGGTCTTATTTAGTGAAAATAGGAGCAACAACGACGTACTTTGATTCTATTTACTACTCCGAAATTCAAGGCCGTGAATAAAATACTAGAATAAAATACGGGTGAATAATCTTTATCCTTTTTATCGAAACTAAATACATCCACGAGCCACCCGATGAATATGGAAAACCCCCCCCAACCGATCGAACCCCAGCATTTTTGTTTTCCGAAATCCTCTGCAGATCTGTCTCCTGAAAACGTGACAATATATTATTAATTTTTGATATTCAAGTAAATCGTATTACGCAATTAGGTATTACCTAACTATAATATAATCGTGTTACCTACCCAAAGCGTCGAGACAAATCGGATTTATTAATACAGACGAAATAGTTGTACAGGTCCAATACGTCGCCACGAGCGCGAAAAAAATCCAAAATTGATACAAGTTGAGAACGTTTCCTCTGTACGTCTTGACGGTAGCCACTTCCATTATTCTATCGTTCGAACAGTTCGCTATATGGCAAAATGTTTTCAAATGGCATCGACAGGTGGGTGAAAGTATTTGCGTGCCATTTATCTGGACAGACATCACTTTAAAGACGTATGAATTTGCAATCTAGTATGACAAAATGCACAATATTCGAATCATGCTGTGATGTGAGCATAAAATATAAAATATACAAAACATCGAATATGATTAGTATAAGAAGTCATTACCTGTTCCGTCTGTTCTACGTCTTTCGGTGTCAATGTCAAGTCGATCTGGTCGTATTTATTTTGATTTTCGTTAATCGTTCTCGTCCACAAATCGCTCAAGTCAGATTGGTTCTTTGGATTATTTACTATTGCATAGCCAGCACCGCACAACTCTGTGTATTGACATTTTAACTGAATAAAAAAACCAATAATATGAAATAATAATTTTTCAATAAAAAGCAATAAAATGTTTTGTATTCAAATATTCCATCGTTCACCGCTACAATTACACTTTATAAAAATATGTTTTAAATAAAATTGAATATATGTCTATTATATAATAGGTATGTACCTAATATTTGATTATTGCAGTTCACAATTCGTTTTATTAAAAACGCTTTCCAAGTCGGGGTCGGCATGCGTATACTGCAGTTTCTATTGACTTTTAATTTTTGGAGAACAATTAACTATATATTATTAGAGCTGGGCGGGCCGATAACACTTTTTCCGATATTCCGATTTATATTGCCGATATAAAACCGATAACTGATCCGATATATTTTATTTCCATGAACCGATGTATAAAAACTTGAAAACCAGATTTATTTTTGAAAAACCGATATCCCATACATAAACCGATGATGTAACATATTATATGTGACATATCAAAACACGTAAGATTTCCACAAGGATAATTAATAATAAATTATTAAATAATAATAAATAATTTTAAATATGCTTTTAGTTGAATAAGTGGACCGAAAAATAAAACAATAAACCTATTAGTTATACAAAATTATAAAACATTAAGCTTGAAATCACTATATGCTAATTAATTAATATTAAATAATTAAAAATTAAAAAATAAAATATTTATACGTTTAAAAGTTAAATTTAATGATAATATATTATGTCATAATAATTAATAATAATTGTTGGGATATTATGTTTATCAACTATCATTTATCAATAAAATGATAACCGCTCTGTAAACAGTAAAAATAATTAAATTAACGAAATTTAATTTAAATTGTGATTGCATCGCGTGTTTACTATGTTTACCAAATTATTTATTGTTTATGGGTATAATGTGTATAAAAACATCATTATCGGTATAACCACCACCAATCACCATATTACATACAAATTTATATGCGACTGCACTATATCGGTTCGAAACAAAATACGATAACCCAAATACCGATATAATACCAATATCGACCAATATGAATATCATCATACCTATATTATGGTTAGCAGTGGTCAGGAATAGGCGGCCCGCGGAGGGGAAATAACTGGGTCGCTCACTTCGTAACAGCCTTAAAATTTTAAACAAATTTTCTTCTTTGGTATTTAGTTCTTATCTATAAGTGTGTGTGTGTTTTTATAATGTACAACTTACAAGGTCTGAAACTCGTCACTGCCCTTACCCTTGTAAATTTGCGTTAGTAAAGAAAAATTGTGTAACTAAAACTGAATATTTTTTTAACGGTTTTTAAAAAGTTAGTTAATTTTTTTTTATTTCAATTTATTTATCTCCTTGACAAGTAATGAGCTGCTCAACAACTTTCTAGCTCTCACAGTTTAGAAAATTTAAAAATAGATGTTTCAGGGCTGAATAATAATTGTATATTGCTGCGTATCAAACATTAATATATATTTAGCTGACCTAGTGAACTTAGCTTTGCTGTGTGGCTATAAGAAAATAATAAATCCGGTTATTGTAAAATGTATTAATCTACTGATAAATATGTAATGTAGTGACCCAAGAGAGCTCTCTTAATAGGACGCCACACAGATATTTGCTGTCTCCGTCATACAGGTGCATAACATAGCAAATTTAAGCTCAGCAGATCACGTTTAGCTCCGTTAGTTAAAAAATTTGAGTGAATTGATCAATAATTAAATTTGATGGTAAGAACATTATCTGTGTTCTAATGTTGGTTTTTTACGATTATTCAGTTTTCAAGTGGGTTATGAGCATTTTTAATTTACGCTAGGTATATTATATAGGTACTCATAAAACTTGCTAAATTGAAGTATCTTAAAAAACCAACGCACGAAAACAGATAATATTTTTACCATCAAATTTTATAATAGATCTATTCACTCTTATTTTTAAACTAACGGATCTAAGGCCGCGAAGACAACAAATATCCGTGTGGCGTCCTCTTAAGAGGATGTCAGTGTACTATTTGTTTTCTTTCATTGGTCCACGCCTAACAAAGACAAAACACATTAACGCAGAAACGTTTTTCCTATGTTTTTATGTAACCTTAGACTACAATTACCCATTACAAAAAAGACAGAGAATAATATTTTCGAGGGAATGACATATCGATTTTATATTTTATTGTTATTTCACTTTGCATTCGACTTTCAAAATAAACAAAAAAATGTTGTAAGTTTAAATTATGTTCAAATGTTGAGACAATATTTAGACAAATCGATATGTCATTCCCTCAAAAATATTATCCTCTGTCTTTTTTGTTATGGGTGATTTTACTCTAAGATTACTTAAAAACATAGAAAACACGTTTCTGCGTAAATGCGTTTTGTCTATGTTGCGGCTAGAGAGAAAAAACAAATAGTGCGCTCACGTCCTCTTAATGTTTTCAAAACGAAAGCATATACATAAATTAAAACGCAACACTCGTAGATAATTTTACTTGTAACTATACCTACACAAGTTTGAGAGCAATTCAATTTCAACAATATAGGTACCTATTGTATTGACATTTTGAACGGTTACTTACATATTATATTATATTATAATTTATATTGTCCTCACCTTGCACGTTATTAACTCATCGCCACCAGTGTGATTCGCAACGGTATAATAAGTGACGTTACTCGTCGGTTGCAAATTATTCTTATTATTATTCTCGTTTAAAACGGTCATTGTCGTCGTTTCTGAGTCGCATTTTAATTCTGTCATCGCTGCTTCCACAGGTGCTTTCGGCACGAACAAGAAACATATCGAAACCACTCCTGTGCCAAATATGACCACTAAAAATAACGTTTTTTTTATCCGGAATCTGTCGACCATCACACCGGACATAGGTACAAGTATCGTCGATACCACCGACATGAACATCATGGTAGCGCCGTAAGTCGTTATCGAGTATCCCAATTGTCTCGCTATCGTAGGCATAAATCCAATCGTGGGTCCAAAACCTATAGGAAATGAGAAAACGTTTACATTAAATCCGTTATAAAATATAATAATATAATATAGACTGCAGACAATATGACACCACGACTATCTTGCCTATCCAATTTTTGTTACAACATGCGAGCTATATAAAGCTATTATTAATCCCGCCAAAGCACCTATAAATTATAATCCGTATCCATGAATATTAATAGTTTGTAAAAATGTCAAGTATTGTTTTTTTGAACGTTATAATAAGAATACATAATAAATAATTGTATCTGTAACATTATTTTAACGAGCCTAATTGAAGATTTAATTATTTATGTAGTTTTTTTTTAACATTTATAATTAGGGAATAATACATGTCATAAATCAAACAATAACCCGAATATTATTAAAGCAAAAACTTAAACACAAATCGTTTTCTAACGGTAGGTATTCACTATACGCCCATTCCTATAACGTGAATTCAATTCATTACTATTTCAGTGTGTAGGTACCTACCATAAAAATCACGATCATATTTTATTTTATGTATACTACTATTATATTAATATGACATAGGACATAGGTACTTACTTGCAAACAGGAGGAAGAAGCACATTTTCAGCGGTAGCAATTGTCTATTCACTTTTGTTCGAAACATGTTCTTGATTTTATTTAATTAAGGTACAAAAAAATTAAAAAATGTTCAAGAGAATAACAAAAATGTAATAATAATATAATTAATAATAATAATTATATAATTATGAATATGAAATGCAACGGTCGCGATCAATAAATAAAATTAACAATAATAATTTATAGACCATCTACACTCGGTTAACGCTGAAAGTATTCTAATACACTGCTAAAAGACTAAAAGTCTAAAAGTCTAAAAGGATGTTCAGGGCAATAATTTTTCTCGCAGTTAATATCGTAATAATCCTGGTGGCCTTGAGAAATCGTGCATGCTGTTTAAGTACCTACCTATTATATAATATACAACGATGATAATTATTATTAAATATTACTCTCATAGAATAACACAGTAGGTAGGTAGGTATAGTTAAATAATTAATAATTATCAATTGTGATTTAAAATATGAACTCGAAAAATTTATAAAACGTATACCTGGTAAGAACACGTAGGTACCTACCACGTTTATAAGCGCTCCGACATAGATATACTTGTGTTATGTGTCAAGTATAGATTTAAGAAATGTCTTGGAATGTTGTGTTTGAGTACCCCCATACCTATTACTGAAATCCACAGCGATATTATACTGCTCGGGATGATTTAAATTTTAAGAGGTGGTAAAAAATTGTTTATTATGATGTACTAGATATCAACATCAACTAATTAATTTCGATGCAGTGGCTATTATTTCATGATAGACGTCCAAGTACCACGAATATAATCTAAAAAGATTATTTTAGTGTTTTGGTGTTTGGAACACATTCAATTAGATAATATTAATTACCTATTAGACAATGATGATGCGGTGCAGAGGTCAGGACAGGATGGTGAGTTATTTATATCTTTCTGATTTTTATTGAGTCCAAAACCTATAGTAATAATATTATGATAGCAAATCCGTTTCCAGAATCGGGATCGGATGAAATAAAACAAATAGTTTTCTGGCTAAACTTTGGCGTTTCTCAATCTGTGGTAAGCGGGAAGCTCGTAGGTATGGTACGCTAGGAAAATCTTTAGCCTCTAAAGTAATACAAAATTTAAACAAAAATTAATTAGTTTTGTAAACCAACTATAATTAGTAAAATAACGAGATAAGACAGTCCTATATAGCGTATATAGTGTATTATATTAATTTTTAATTGTGTATATTTGAATAATCATTTTTCTATTGTTACATTATAATAATTTATAGCTGGTTGCTGGTACATTGTATTCCACCAGTATAATATAAAATTAAGTGCCTATTATGTAGTTCGATAAAATCGATTTTTATACGAATTCTATAACAGACGTGACGGTCAACACAACAAAATGAAAAAAACAATTTGACTCGATCACGCGTAATGCAGTAGGTATTTACCTAGTTACCTCTACCAATGTCACATGGATTTGCACGTGATGTGGTCCGCCACCGCATCGCAGGTGTTGGCTCACGGAGTAGATTCAAAAATATTATAATAATCGAAAATTGATATCAAACGACGCGTCGATGTCAATTCGGGCGACTGTTAAAGGTAAAACCTGAAATTATTCAAAAATTGCAATTATTTTGGAAGGCGTACAATTTCGGATTCGGTACTATTAACGGTCGATTTCAAACAATGCTGCCGGTCAGGTCGGATGATGCCGGTCGATGGCATAGTGGTTTGTATAGAGCGATGCGCCATGCGCATGTCTTGATGTCTCCAACCGAGTGCAACGATCCACCTCAACTTCGAACAACGAGGAATTAGTCAATTTTTTTTACACGATTAGTTTTAGCGAGCATTGTTTTAGCAACGATTTGGCTCGATCAGCAGTATAGGTACTTATATACCTCTACCAATATTATATGGATTTTCACGATGGATGTGGTCAAGCCCGGATTAAGGATCAATTGGGCCCCGGGACACCATACACTTAACAGTTTGTGGGCCCGCTTTCAACTATAATTTAAAAATAATTGTATCATTACGTCATATTAACGACTTTATATTATTGTATAATTTTTTACTATACAAAAAATATACAGAGTGTATCTTATGTCATTGTATGCAGGTTGTTTTTTAACAATATTATGGATCGATGACATGGAATTTCGTTAAAAGAAAAAAAAACTTGTTTGGTTTTTTTTTTAACAGGCAATTTTTTTATAACCTTTTCTACACTATTTTAAACACGCAGTTGTACCAATACTCAAATTGACTTTATTTTTTCAAATGGTAACCGCACTATATTTTTTGATGGATTCTGGTAGAGCTTTTTTCCTGAACATTTTGACAGTCAAATTATCAATTTTGGTTTGATAGGTTATTAACTATGATGGTCCTCTAAAGCAATTTTATTTTATAATTATTAATAATAATTTACCTACTATACTACCTACTTAAATAATTTTTTTTTTTTTTTTAAACTATTGGACGCGTTAAAAAATATATTTTGGGTATAAAGATGGGCCTCCAAATTCAATCGGCCCCGGGACCGTGCCCCCTTGCCCCCCCTTAATCCGGGCTTGGATGTGGTCTGCCGGCGCATCAAATGGTCAACAATATACCCACGGACCATGACAGTGCCGCAAAGTACAAATTTGAGGACCCGGTTCAAAAATATTTAAGAGGCCCTTTTAGTTTTTAGTGTCGCATTGGCGAAAATAATTGGGAGCTTAGCTACCAAATATACCATAAGCCCCCTCCCCCCCTAAAAAAAATATATAAAGACATTTTTTTTGTGTGCACAAGTGATTTGGTAACCAAGCAAAGCTCACATTGATGTAAAAATTTTGGCTCCGTTGAAATTTTAATGAATTTCTTCCTATAAGTACTTAAGAAATAAACAGTGGCAGACAGGATACAGACATTTTGAGAGTTCATGTATGCAACTAAAGTGTTCTACCCACTTGTCATTTTTCTTTGGCAATTGCAACTTATGTAATAAAAAAAATGTCTAACTATACTTGACTATAATAATTATTAACTAATATTCAAATAATATATCATTATAATATTATATCTTAAATATTTTATTAAAAAACTAGTAAATACTAATAACAAAATAAATTTACTTATTATAGGTACAATTATAACATTTATAAATTACCTACATCTTTTTATCTAAGGAATTGAATATTTAAACTAATCAGTAAGCTACATGACAGATAAAGTTGGTAAAATTGAAGATGGATACAAATGAATGAATCCTTAAAGTTCATTCAAATAGGAAAAACCACTGTAAAATTAGAAAAAAGTGAACAAGTGGGTGTCGCTCTGCTGTACAGTAGGTTACAAGTGGGTCACTTTAATGGAAGGTGTTAAATTTGAATTCAATGATATATAATATCATTGTATAAGAAAACGATTCTGAGCGAAAACAGTCAGTCAGCAATAATATTATTGTGAATAAAGTAATTTACATAATATACAGGGTGGGGCACTGAAACGGCCTATTTATATTATAATTTATCTTTGAAAATCGGCCGTTTTAGTGCCCCACCCTGTATACATATTTACGCGGAACCTTGTTGTACATTTTTATCTACAAAATAACTTTTAAATTTAAAATTTCATAACTTTTGTCAAAATTTGAACTTTAAATTCTTATAAAAACTATCGTGACTACTGACTATGTATTTTTAATATTTTTCAACTGCTATTGTAACAATATATCAAGAGCCTTGTATTAAATTTTCACGCATTTTTAAAAAACAAATTTTATTGACAATTATAGAAAAAAAACAACTAAAAAAATGTAAAACTTCCAATGTCCGTAAACAGCTCAAAAAGACTCAACATTTTATCGTGTATAGAAAATAAAAATATGAACATGTGTCCGCGATACTGTCATGTATCTACAGAAATTCGTTTTTGAATTAGGTACAACGAAATAACAAAATCGGTAGGTACCTGAGAGTACAGTACATGAGAAATCGAGTATGTGTATCTAATCTTGTAAAAATATGAACTTCGAACGCTCAAAAAAATTTGATTTGATTTGCTTGTAGATATTTTTTTTTAATAAAGGTAGACAAACTTATGAGGAATCTTGTATTACATTTTCAAAACTTAGATTTAAATGGATAATTATTTATCAATTTCTAATTCAAAATAATTTGTACATTTTCGTGAATTTTACGTATTTTATAGGTACTTATAACGCGTTATACATCAATAAAAACCGTGATACTATCATAGATATATAATAGTACACTTTAGAAGTTTCAAGTACCCACGAATAATATTATTCAATCACAACAAAATAACTAAAATAGTTATTCTAGGTTTTTTTTTATGTAATTTCTTCCAAATTTGAATTTAAAATGTCTGTAAAAAATAACTGTGTTCATATATTTTTTTAGATTTTTTGGTTACAGTATGAACTATTTATGAGAACCTTTGTTTTAAATTTGCAATCCTTGGCTATAAAAACTGAACATTTTATAATTTATTGTCTTGGATTAAATTTTTACACTTTTCGGCCCAACAGATAAAACTTAATTGATATTTATAGAAAAAAAAAATGCCGCCCATGACCAAGGAATCGAACCCGTCCCCCTGTAATTATTATTATGAGTATAATATAAAATACTATGATTAACAAAATCAGTAGGTACCTGAGAGTACAGCTAGTACATGAGAAATCGAGTATGTGTATCCAATCTTGTAAAAATATGAACTTCGAATGCTCATAAAAATTTTATTTGATTAGCTTGTAGATATTTTTTTTTTTTAATAAAGGTAGAAAAACTTATGAGGAATCTTGTATTACATTTTCAAATCTTGGATTTAAATGGAAAATTTTTTATCAATTTCTAATTCAAAATAATTTGCACATTTTCATGAATTTTACATATTTTGTCAATATTTGAACTTATATAAATGCTTATAGACAATAAAATGTGACTATGGATTTTTAATATTTTTCATCCGTCTTTGAAACAATATATTAGGAGCCTTCTATTAGATTTTCAAGCATTTTTAACCAAAAAATAAAAT